GATAATAGTTATAAGTGCCGTCTGAATTGCCGAATTGAAATTACGGCATTACGAAATATGGATTTTACCATTTAAATATCTAACAAAACATCAAGATCAGCATTATAGATTTACGGATTAAAAATTATCTACGGCATAATCAAATAAAAAAAAATATTTACTTCCTTTGTGTAATTTTTGTATACTTGGCATTAAATAATTACGGCATTACGACGATATAGTATATTACGGTATAGGCTTCATATGCCATAATTAATTCCGACAGCAAGTATAATAATAGTCCCTTCTTAATTTGGAAGTAACATCTAAAGATTCAAGGTCTAAAATAAAAATAAAAATTAAAATTATCGATCAATTGATTGATCAACGTTGATCGAACTTCAAGCCCAACACACGGTGTTAATACTACTTAAACTAATATTGAAGTCAGAATCATTAATTAAAAAAACTATGCTATAACCGCCATAACCTTATTAATAAGCCAATATAAAAGAGTATCAAAAAATCAAAATCTTGTAGTTACAGTACCTATTTTTTTTTTTATTGCAATTATTCCATTACTAAGATATTGACTTTTCCTGCAAATTTTCGATGAAATGGGGTTTCGGCGAAACGTACTTTCGGTGAAATGTCCATTCGGTGAAATGTTCGTTCAGCGAAACCTCCCTTTGGCGAAATAGCTTCGGTGAAATGGGTTTCTGCGTAATGTCCTGATAGTTAATCCTCGATAACCCATTTTCTTCCAGAAAAACCATTTTGAAACTTTCTCCTTTTTTTTTGGTAGAATTTCGAACTAATGATACTGGCTAATCTTATTAAAGATATCAATATTCAAATGCTAAAGAAGCGAGACTAATGAATTAAAGATCTAGAAAATTAAGATTTCTAAATTAAATAAAAATTAATCATTATCGGTCAAAGTAAAAAAAGGACGCTTAAATCATTTACCTATTTATTTAATTTTCGTTATTAACTCTTTTTTTTTTTATGGTAAATTTGCAAGCACTTCAATATGATTAAAGTTGTCCACATGAAGTCATCTTTCATTTTGTCGTAGCCACTTTACCGATGAATGGACATTTCGATAAATGGATATTTTGCCGAATGGACATTTCGCCGAATAATTATTTATTCTTTATCGTTTTTATACTAAATAGTACATAAGAAAACTTTTTCTAGAAATATTTTTGAATTAACAAAATGATTTTTATTAAATTTATTTCATTATTTATAATACATTAATCTTTTTTTTACTTACTTTTTCGTGAATAAGTTTTTTCAGGAAAATAAAATTATTTATTTATTGCTTAACAATTAATATCAGTTACTATGAATGTTAAAGTGATAATATCCTAGAAAAAAAGGATCTCTAAAAATAATTTTCATTGCGTGATGAATATTTTTAATCGCTACCATTTTCGGTAAGATGGAATTCGGTAAGATGGAATTCGGTAAGATGGAATTCGGCGAAATGGACGATTCGGCGAAATAGATTCGGTGAAATGTACTATCGGAGAAACGTCCTTTCGGCGAAATATCCCTTCGGTGAAACATCCCTTCGGCGAAACTTCCCTTCGGCAAAATATCCCTTCGGAGAAACATCCCTTCGGTGAAACATTTCTTCGGTGAATAGCTTCGGCGAAACATCCCTTCGTCGAAATGGCTTCGACGAAATGGCGTAATGTGCCGTAACCTCCGTTTAACTTATAATAATCAACTAATATTAAATTAACCACTCTAGGAACTGTTCTAACAATTTAAAAAGCAAACTAAATTTAGTCTAAGTATAGATTGGTCATTTAGTCGTTACTTAATAACAAATCAAAAAATAAATTTTTTAATTGATCATTACATGATATTCTAGGAAGGCCCATTTGGTAAGTGAGGGAGGTTCTACTACCTGCGTAAATATATCCTAGTTTTAATTTACCCAGAAGAACTGAAGTAGAATGGAAGACGTACCGAGATGAAATCTCCATTCCTAGTTAAAGGACTGTAAAATCTTTTTTTTTCTAAAAGAAATTATATTAGCTCACAATCGTTATAGATTAACAAAAGAATTTTGCAAAAAAAAACTATGTAAATATATTATATGAACGAACACGATCTTTACAATCGCTATTCTTATGTTTTTTTACTCACTTGTTATTCTTCACTATCATATTTATATAACTTATATTCAAAATGGGGACAACATCCAATTTTGTAATACGTAATATTTCGTTAGAGAATATTTGCTAATGATAAAAATTTTGCATTCCATTCCATGAAAAACAAAATTATTAATAAAACATTAATTACTAGTAAAGAAAGAAGAGTGAATAATAAAATTTGACGATACCTTAGTGAATTTTATATGGCTTCTCAAGTTCAGATATAAAATAAGGTGGATCTTTAAAGCCTTAATACCCAATAAGTTCATATTTTCGGAAAAGGCTATAAGTCTTCTTTCGCATATAAGTCAAACTTCTTTCTAATGAATATTATTCAACGAATTCTTCGTTATCCTCTAATTTTCAGATCGATAACTCCAAGATTCAAGTTCATGTAAATTAAATTAAATTGACCTAATAAAATAAATAGTAATTAAAGATCATTAACGTGTACTTTTTTATTGAACGGTATAACTTTTACTTTACAAGAAAGTTGAGAAATAAATTGCTTCTCACCGATTTTAAAAAATCATGACAAATTTCGTACAGTTTTACATCCTTTCAAGTTTTTTTGAATATTCATAAATGATATACGAATTTACATCAAACCATTTTTTTAATAAAAAATTAACGTTATAAAAAAATACTAATTTTTATAAAAATTTTATCGTGAAAATAAACGTAAGTAATTTTTACTATTAGGTAAATAATATAAATAATAATAATAATAGTAATAATAGTAATGATAATAAAACTTATAAAAGGTCCAAGTTAAAAAAAAAAAAAAAAAAAAAAAATTAGAATATTTTATGTGTATATCATTGGTTAATAATAACTTGAATATTTTTAGAAAAGTTGTATTGATAAATTAAATTTTTGAATCAATAAAATTTATTAATTTTTTTTTCGTGTTGTATAAATATAGAAAATAATAAAAATAAATAACAGAAAAATTTAGTTGTAAAAAAAATAATTTTTTCAATATATAAGACAAGTCGAAATTTTACGCTTTATAGAAGATCATATTAATGTTTTGATCACAAGTAACATTAGTGCATACTTTTAATAATCAAGAAAAAATTACACAAGCGGTTTCGGATCATTTATTACTTGAATCATGATAAAATATTGGTTAAAGAAATGTTACACAGCATATAAATCATGAAGATTGACAGATTTTTCCAAAAATATAGTTCATATGTTAACAAATATTTGCTAAATAAATAACCCCCTAATAAAAACGTCCATTGTTCTTTAATGTTTTAAAACAATAGACTCATACGCAGCATAAAATAATTATTATATATATTTGCTATTCCCAATAATAAGAATTTTGTTTCATAATAAATATTCTTACATTTTGAGTATTTGATAAATTTATAGTTGGCAGTTGGCTATTATAAATAATTATTTTATAATTTTAATGGTTGTAGCGATAATTTCTTGTGATATTATTTATAAAATTTATGATATCTCTTTAAGAAAAATAATTTTACGCTTGAAAAAATTATTTTTAAGGGTTGAAAATGAAGCTGTACAACCGGAACATAAGAATCGTGAATCGTACTGTAATTCCGTAGTGACAATAATGGAAATGATCGATGTAAACCAATTATTTCGCGATAGATAGTACAAAAGTAAAATTTTTCATTAGGAAAATTCCGAATCATATTTATAAGGACATGATTAACTTAGGCGCGTTATTTTCCCAAGCTTCATGCACGTAAGAAATTAAACAAACATGATTTAAAATTTAGGGGCATACGTGATACGTAATACAACTATTACGATGAATAATCTGTTATACCAAAAAAAGAAAAAAACTTTAGTAATAACTTATCTGCGTAACCTCACATGATGAAAATTTTTTCAATTCTGAAATTTCAAATTTTCAGCCTTTGTGTAAAATAATTTTTATACCCTGAAAAAAAAAAAAAAATTGGTGACCATTTTTTAGAACGCCCCCCAAAAAACCCGTTTTGATAATTTTATACATGGTTTTCATTGAATATATATATTGCGTAATATAAAATCGCTAATAATTTCACAAAATCATATGATTTCGATTTTTGTCCAGAATTTGGTTAAGAAGATATATTAATTTGGATAAAAGAATTCACGAAATTTACAGCCACATCAATTGTTATTTGAACCACCTTCAACTTATTTACCGAATTTAGGTAAATTAATCATTATATAATAAGATCGCATGAGATAATATCGAATTTAAAGTTGACTGTAATTCAAGATTATAAAATAAATGATAGAAAATCTGTCTTTCTATAATAAAAAAGATTATGATATATAATAGCGATGGATTTTTGACGGGTTAAATGTAGAAATAATCTTGAATAACATACGTTATATGATGACATATATTGTATATAAATATTTAAAGAAATTTAATATATTTTGGGATTAAAATTGCTTACATAATGATTATATAATATTATTCTAAATGGTTAAATTTTTTTTTATCACTTTTTTACCAGAGTTCTCAATAATTATAACAGTATTTATATTTGTACTGTAAGAAGTGCAATATATACACGAGTTATTAAATGGGCACTTTTTTGTTTATGACACTTTTTATCTTTAAATGAAAAAATGATGAGATTTTTTTGGTAATTAAAATAGATTTATTAGATAAACCGATGAATTAATTATATCAACCAACATTTGTAATTTATATTTTATGAACTCCTTATTTTTTTAATGTAAATCATTTAATATAAAAAAAAAAGTTATTAGCAAGCAATTTTTATTATTGGTTATATCTTGTTTGTTGTCAATCAGAGTACGGTGTGACAATGTCATAAATAGTAAAGATATACAACAGATTCACTCAAAAGGGAACAATTAAAAAATTTCGTGAAACTGTTCACAAAAAAATAAGGTTGTTTTTTTATTATTTTATAAAAAATTTTTTTTTATATAAATTCCGCACAAAAAATTAATTTATTCGTTTAATTCCTCATTTCAAATCTCAAAAAAATGTTGTTATTCGATGAAACTGTATGTAGATAAATTTTACAATATTATATTACCACGTAAAAAAAATTTTATTAATTTTTGTTTTCTTTCTTTCTTTTTCTTAAAGAGTAATAAACTTATCACGTACGGTATGAAAAGATGGAAAAATCGTCATAATCGTTTCGTGAAGATTAGTAAATTGGTCCCAAAATATACTCCAAAACAAATTGCTTCCCAGTAGGTTACAAATTTATTATTTTTTTTTTGTTTCTTGTTTTTTTGTTTTCCTTTTTTTAAAACATTTTTTTTATAATTAAATTTAGCTGGAAGAATTATCTTGATCCAAGTTGTAAGTAATTTTAATTTTTTTTCTTTCTTTTTTTAAAAACTTGCACTTTTTTAAGAAAAAAAATCTTTTTTTTGTGCTACGATAAGTATGCCTTGATACTTTGGAGTTTGAAGAAAAAAAGTTTATTATTAAATGGATTCGAGAACATCGAACTGTAACTGGAGTCATTCATTGGAAATATGTAATTAAAGATTTAAAAATTCAATTTGGTAAGCAACACTCTGAAAACAAGATCAAAAACTATTGGAATTCAAGAAAGAAGAGTTACTTGAGAAAACTTAAAGGACTAAAAGTGAGAAGTATCAAAACTAAAGAACAAGTTAAAGAACAAGAAATGACTGGACCCGAAAAACAAGAACAAGAACAAGTGAAAATTTTGGATTCTGAAGAAGATGAACGTAAATTCATTTTTCATCATGTTAATTCCGATGAATTGCTTATTCCAAAAAATCAAAATGGGTATTCAAAAATTTCTATTTCATTCCTTTTAAATTATGATAACTAATTCGTGAAAAGAAATTAGTCAGGATTAAGAATATAATTATACAAATGGGAAAATTATGATATTTGTAATTTATGCCTTTTATTTATTGAAGCTTTATGTCGTATACTCGTATTTTCTTACCCTCGTTTGTTTTTGAATTATATATATACTTTATTTTATTTGACATTATTTATGATATTTATGTTATTCATATATTTATGTTTTTATGTTATTTACGCTATTTATTATTTCATTATGGGAATTATATATATATTATATGTATTATTTTTTACATTTTTTATGAAAATATAAATAAAACTTTTCGTCTTTTCGTTAACGAAGGAAATTAAAAGTCACGAGATATCTAAGAACCGTTTTTTATTGGCTTTTTTCTATACCAATTTGTGGGACTGATCGATAAAATTATATGCTCTTTTGGCTCTTTAAAAAGATTTTGGGCTCTTTTAAAAAAATTTTGGGCCCCCAAAATTAAACGTTGTAATATGTCATGCATACTGAAATACTAATCAGATCTAAGGTCAACTTTTTAAGTTATACCATATTTTTTCAAACACAAACTATGCTGATATTAGTTAGCGATTATATTATACTGTAATCATTCATAACTGTCACAAATCATATCATTTCTTAATTCTAATAATTTATTCAAGTAATTATATTTTAACAATTTTAGTTATTTATTTATTAAAATCATCATAAATATTTTGATTATATTATAATTCAATTCATTCGTTAAAAGATTTCGTTCTACAATCAATAAATCATTACAAAAAAGTAACCTTGTTTATTATTTATCACAAGTAACTTCTGGTGCTTCCTGAATTTCCAGTTTTAACCTTATCTTTGTTCAAAATAAATACATTTTAAAATTATATTCCCCAAAATTTTTAGTTGATATGATCAAGGATATTGGATATTTTCTGATTAATTAATTACAGATAAGCTTGTGTTTTTCTGCACGATAGATAATCTATCATCTTTTTTTTTGAAAAAACTTCGTTAGTTATATTGTTAAAAGAATTTCAAAGGGATGCATACACTGTAGTTTATTTCATACTTGCATCGACTGTTAGTATAGTATATTATTACAATAAAGAACAATATATACATATATATTGGTTTCGCTTATATTGCATTTCATTTAAGAGTTACTGTATATCATTGAAAGAAAACACAAAGAATTCGACCTTTTTTTAAAATAAAATAAAATAAAATAAAAATAATATCTCGATAGATCATACTTTTCTATATCAGATCGCATTCATTTTGATCGTGATCGGATCAAATCTCCGCATCTACCGAACATGAATCAATATATACATAATATATTACATACTGTATATAACAATATTAAGATATCATATCAGGAGAAATTTCAAACACGTTTTAAAAAAAAAAAAAAATATAAAAAAATAAATTTAATTTTTTTCTGTACCATCATAATAATTGAAAAACATATCAGTTGATCAGATGATTAGTGTGTGAAAAAAAAAATAATACTTTATATACTTTATTAGGAATAGTATCATGGAATTTTTTTATAATATTTATCATATTTATCGGAAATACTGTATCTAATTTAAAGATAAAGTAATTTTATAACCAAATTATAGTAAATATTTTTTTATGTTAACGGATCATTTCGGGAATTTTATCAAAACAAGAAGCAATAATTCGAAATTTCGAATATTTATGAATGATGAAATTTTTTTCATTGAACTAAATTGAGTAATCTATTACCTGTCTTAAAATGTATATTTTCTTTACAATCTAGACCTAATAACTTTATTTTTATTTTTACCCACTCACAAAAAAAAATTTTTCACTTACACAAAGGGATAATTCAATCAATATTTAAATATATGTACTGTATATTAAAATCGACTTCTATAACTGACTTGAACTGCATTTTATGTTAATAATATATTATTAACAAAATATATGATAAAATTGATATATAATAAATATAATAAGAATAACTGAAAGCATTTAGAAATTTTTGTAAATCCTCTTCATTCTCTTCACTAACCTTTCGTTCACTAAAAATTAACAAGTATGCCACGTCAACGAAGAACAATTTGTAGAATTGACCCGAATGTATGTTAAAGCAATTTATATTAAAAATTTAGATATTAATTTTATATTTATTTTAACACTTTTTTTTTTAGAATGAGAGAATTATAACTCTCTATATGGATAAATGGAGTAGGTACGGAAGAGTAAACCGAAGCCCTTTTGTGGAATTGAGTAAAATTATTCCACACAGTCCCAGGCAAATTTGTCATTCGTAAGTTAATAACCAATTTTTAAGTTTCTCTCTCTTTTTTTTTTAAAGAAAACATATTAAATTAATTTATTAACCACAAAATGTAGTTGGTGGAATAAGTTGGATCCGAGACGTAAGTAAATTATTATAATTATAACTAAAAATCTTTTTTTTTTATAAAGAAAAAAATCTTTGAAGTAACTTTTTCTTTGTTTTAGTCTGTTTAACCATCCACGTACCTTTTACGCATCGAGAAAAAGAATATATTTACGAATGGGTAGAAGAGTATCTCTCCTATAATAATAACAAAAAAATTCCATGGAAGACTTTACAATCGAACATGGAAAAAGTATTTGAAAGGTTACGTTCCAGAAATGAAATTAAAAACGTTTGGTACTCCAGGAAGAGGAGATTAAACAGACAATTAAAAAATCTTACTGAAATTTTCAATAACCCATATCAAGTATTTTTTTAACGTCCTTTATTATATATATACTTAAATATTTTCATTTTTGTTTTCTATATTTTATCTCGTAAATTTCATATTATCTCACAATATCGTTATCTGTTATGTATTTGAATTTTTAAATCACAAATTTTTTTAAATAAAGTATGAAGCGTTAGCCCTTTAACGTTTATATATTAAAAAAAATGTGTAATATAATACAGTATAATATAATACAGTATGTCAAAGGAATAAGCGAACTATTTTTATAAAATTAAAACTAAAATTATAAATTTTTTTGATTTATATTCATAGTGATACCTTTTGTAAATTTCTTGTCTCTTTTATCTTTTCTCTCTTGCAAAACAAATTAGCTTCCTAATCATGTGAACATAAATGATAACTTCTAATAAATAAATATTTCATAAATACAGTAGTTCGACCGGCATTAAAAATCTGAAATAATTACAGCTGGAGTTAAGGTATCAACTAAATCTGTACGGCTTATACCCGAGTCTTTTATTGACTACATTGATTCCAAATCTATCTAAATAATAATCATAAAGTTCAATTTGGTGAATTAAGTAATAAACATTATAATAAATCAATGATATGGTAAATAGAAAATTTCTACTAGACAAGAGATGATTGCTTATACTCGTGTATATAGTAGTGCTTCGATCCGGATTGATCCGTTGATTAGCATCACATTTTTCTATTATTTTTGTCAAACTATAATTTTTGTCAGATTTAAAAAAATTATTCTTCCACAAATTTTATTAATTTTGGCCAAACTTATAGCTCCAACTCAAATAAACCGATGCCAAACCGTAGTAAACCGCGGATCGATCCGTTAAAAACCGAAGCACTACGTGTATATATATCCCGTGATATAATATCATAGTTTCTTAATTTTGCGGATCCTTGGACCAAAATTTTGACACCTGAATTTCCTATTTCGGTTTTTAGCAGAGTTTTCAAAATAAAGTTGATAGAGCTTGTACAAAATAATTGTTGACTTGTGGAAATCGTACCAATTTTTTAATTAGCATGTAGGTGCCTAAATGTGGTTTAAAAAATGGTTTCATTCTTAAGAGTTATATTGTACTATATATATTTCTGAATACCGGTGGAAATCGGCATTACGAAATCTTAGTCCGGCACTATGCTTTAATTCTGGCCAACATCCCGTATCCACATAGATTCCGTTTTCACCTACAACATAACATATACACTACCTAGACAAAAGTAGCGGACCTTCCATTTTTGTCAATTACTCAAAATTGTACATAATAACAATACTTGAAATTTTAATATGTGATAACGTAAATTCCAAAGAATGTATATTTAAAGGTTCACACTTCTAACTTTCACATAGCTATATTAATTAAAAAATGAAGCTTGGTAATTGTTACATTACTTAGACAAAAATAGTGGACCCTTTATTTTTGTTAATTACTTAAAATTACATAAAATAATAATGCTTGAAATTTTAATATGTAATAATATAGACTTTAAAGAACATAGAGTCAAATTTTTATGCTTTTAATTTTCATACAGCTGTATTTATTAAAAAAATCAAAAATTCTTGATGATCGTCAAATTAAAAAAAAGTGAATGATTTTTATTTTTTTAGATACTAATTGTTAATTTGAAAGATAAATTATAAAAATTTATATATAATATTTATTATCCAGAGCTGAAACTTTCAAACAATATATAAATTAAAGTATTTTATTATGTAAAATTTTGAGAATGTGAAAATACAGTATTGTTGTTTTTAAAAATTAAATTTTCTCTCAATTTTTTATATAATTCATATAAAAACAAAAACTAGATAAAAAAAATTTAACGTATATACATTAATCAAAATTCTGTACTATTACATATTAAAATTTCTGTTATTATTATTATGCAAATTCTAAATAAATAGACAATAACAGACTATTTATTTAATTTTATAGATAATCGTCAATATTTCCCTTTATAAGTTTTTTTAATTAATATAGTTGTATGAAGGTTAGAACTATGAAATTTTGAATATATGTTCCTTAGAGTCTATGTTATCACATATTAAAATTTCAAGTATTATTATTATGTATAATTTTGAGTAATTAATAAAAATAAAAGGTCCGCTACTTTTGTCTAGGTAGTGTATAAGCAAAAAAATTGTGTATATTTTGCGTAAATCATTTCATTAAGTTATAAAAATAGTTTTGTGTCGCTTACCCGACAGGACATTTTCCCGACAGCCTAACGCTGGCCGTTTGATCACGTGCTCTTACTGCATAACTCCGGCCAAACTTGTCGGAAATCATCCGTCGGGAGATCGTGCTGTAACCGAAAATTGTGATCTTGTACTCGTGATCAACATAATGCATTTTGCATTAATATTGTTACCATATTTATTCATACCAATAAAGGCGTTTAATAATAAAAAAAAAAAGAAAAAAAGATCCTTTTCAATTAAGAAGAGTTTTGATATAGCAATGGGTCAATGTATTGGTAAAGGTAAAGCATATAACATGAATAATAATATAAATTAGAAATATTCAAAATTATTAAAACAGACTTACAATATAGTAAAACTAGTTTTGTGTAATACCAAAGAACCTGAAGGTAAATATAATATACAGAACAAAAATTGAAATATAAAGATTTTTATTTATTAAAAATAACTTAATTGTAAATAATCAAATATAAATTAAACCAAATTTGCAATATAACAAAACTAGTTTCCAGTAATATTGAAGAAATTGAAGAAAGTGACACTGGAGAATTTGAGGGAAGTGGCACTAAAGAATCTGAAAGTAGTAGTATTGAGGAATTTGACGCTGAGGAATCTAAAGGTATATCAAACAAGTTGAAATATTAAGTTTTTATTTATAAAAAATTCAAATACGACAAATATAATTTAGACTAACTATATTATATAAAAATTATATTAAATGTTTAGCTTGTAAGTTAATATAATAATGAATTACTCATTATTTTTATTTTATTCCATATAACTAAATAATTTATTTAATGATTAATAATACTGTAGTTGGTAAGTTATCAGTTATTTAAATCTTTAGTACTTTATTTTTCTACATAACATTCAAATAACTAAATTCTTTGTTTAAACAACTATTTAATAATTGATTATATTACAGATGGTAAGTTACAATATATATATTATATATATCTGTTTAATATTTTACATAATTCAACTAATTATTCTTAATTTAATTAACTAGATTGTAAGTAATATATATCATTTACAGCAAATACTTTTATATTATCTTTTTATCTAACAAATTAATAATCAATAATACTACAGGGTGTAAGTTATATGATATCTATATTTATATTATTTATATAATTTAACTAATTTCTTTATTTAAAAAATTATTAAATAATATAGGGAGTAAGTTATTTATTTAATTCTATTATTACTTATTGTTATAATATTTACATATAATTTAAACTAACTAATTTCTTTATTTAAAAAATTATTAAATAATATAGGGAGTAAGTTATTTATTTAATTCTATTATTACTTATTGTTATAATATTTACATATAATTTAAACTAACTAATTTCTTTATTTAAAAAATTATTAAATAATATAGGGAGTAAGTTATTTATTTAATTCTATTATTACTTATTGTTATAATATTTACATATAATTTAAACTAACTAATTTCTTTATTTAAAAAATTATTAAATAATATAGGGAGTAAGTTATTTATTTAATTCTATTATTACTTATTGTTATAATATTTACATATAATTTAAACTAACTAATTTCTTTATTTAAAAAATTATTAAATAATATAGGGAGTAAGTTATTTATTTAATTCTATTATTACTTATTGTTATAATATTTACATATAATTTAAACTAACTAATTTCTTTATTTAAAAAATTATTAAATAATATAGGGAGTAAGTTATTTATTTAATTCTATTATTACTTATTGTTATAATATTTACATATAATTTAAACTAACTAATTTCTTTATTTAAAAAATTATTAAATAATATAGGGAGTAAGTTATTTATTTAATTCTATTATTACTTATTGTTATAATATTTACATATAATTTAAACTAACTAATTTCTTTATTTAAAAAATTATTAAATAATATAGGGAGTAAGTTATTTATTTAATTCTATTATTACTTATTGTTATAATATTTACATATAATTTAAACTAACTAATTTCTTTATTTAAAAAATTATTAAATAATATAGGGAGTAAGTTATTTATTTAATTCTATTATTACTTATTGTTATAATATTTACATATAATTTAAACTAACTAATTTCTTTATTTAAAAAATTATTAAATAATATAGGGAGTAAGTTATTTATTTAATTCTATTATTACTTATTGTTATAATATTTACATATAATTTAAACTAACTAATTTCTTTATTTAAAAAATTATTAAATAATATAGGGAGTAAGTTATTTATTTAATTCTATTATTACTTATTGTTATAATATTTACATATAATTTAAACTAACTAATTTCTTTATTTAAAAAATTATTAAATAATATAGGGAGTAAGTTATTTATTTAATTCTATTATTACTTATTGTTATAATATTTACATATAATTTAAACTAACTAATTTCTTTATTTAAAAAATTATTAAATAATATAGGGAGTAAGTTATTTATTTAATTCTATTATTACTTATTGTTATAATATTTACATATAATTTAAACTAACTAATTTCTTTATTTAAAAAATTATTAAATAATATAGGGAGTAAGTTATTTATTTAATTCTATTATTACTTATTGTTATAATATTTACATATAATTTAAACTAACTAATTTCTTTATTTAAAAAATTATTAAATAATATAGGGAGTAAGTTATTTATTTAATTCTATTATTACTTATTGTTATAATATTTACATATAATTTAAACTAACTAATTTCTTTATTTAAAAAATTATTAAATAATATAGGGAGTAAGTTATTTATTTAATTCTATTATTACTTATTGTTATAATATTTACATATAATTTAAACTAACTAATTTCTTTATTTAAAAAATTATTAAATAATATAGGGAGTAAGTTATTTATTTAATTCTATTATTACTTATTGTTATAATATTTACATATAATTTAAACTAACTAATTTCTTTATTTAAAAAATTATTAAATAATATAGGGAGTAAGTTATTTATTTAATTCTATTATTACTTATTGTTATAATATTTACATATAATTTAAACTAACTAATTTCTTTATTTAAAAAATTATTAAATAATATAGAGAGTAAGTTATTTATTTAATTCTATTATTACTTATTGTTATAATATTTACATATAATTTAAACTAACTAATTTCTTTATTTAAAAAATTATTAAATAATATAGATAGTAAGTTATTTATTTAATTCTATTATTGCTTATTGTTATAATATTTACATATAATTTAAACTAACTAATTTCTTTATTTATTTAATAGATTGTAAGTTATTTATTTAATTCTATTATTACTTATTGTTATAATATTTACATATAATTTAAACTAACTAATTTCTTTATTTAATAGATTGCAAGTTGTTTATTTAATTCTATTATTACTTATTGTTATAATATTTACAGCTAATTAATTTCTTTATTTAAAAAATTATTTATGATCTAGGTTGTAAGTATCTCTATCATTGTATATTTTACATAATTTTTATTTGTTAACTAAATTCTTTCATTTGAAAAATATCTGTTACTTTAGTTGGTAAGTTGTAAATTATAGGTTATTATATGTATTTATCCAAAAATTAAGACTTATCTTATATTACATTAAATTCCTATTTAAATTTTAGAGTAAGTAATAATTTGTTTTGTGTAAATTATAATACAATCTATAATATCTATAATATAATTTTAACTGTTTAAATTTATAGATTTGGAAAAAGTGAAAATACAATTATAGATGATTTTATTCTTAAAAATAAATTAAAATGGATTCCTTATAACAAACTTAAAAATGTTGAATATCTTAGTGAAGGAGGATTTGGTGCTATATATAAAGCTACTTGGTTAAAGAATAATAGAGATGAAGAAGTAATTCTTAAATGCCATAAAAATTTAAATGAAAATTTAAATGAATTTTTAAAAGAAGTATGATAGTATTTATTTTCTATTTTTAATTTAAATTAAATTTTATTTATACTAATAAATTATTATTATTTTTTATAGTGGGGATATCATAGTAGTTGTTTAAGTTCAAATAATATTATAAATTTTTATGGATTTACAGAAGTTCCAAATTCATCAAAATATATGGTAGTAATGCAATATGCAAATAAAGGTAATTTAAGAGAAAATTTAACAAGAGTAGTTGAAAATAATTGGAATCAAAAATTATATATGTTGTACGAAATTATTTCTGGACTTAATAAGATACATGGAGAAAATCTTATTCATTGTGATTTTCATGATGGTAATATTTTAAATCATAATGATGAGAATAAGGATAAAATTTATATTAGTGATTTAGGATTATGTCAACCTGTAAAATCATTTTTGAAAAAGTATGATATTTATGGTGTAATGCCATTTATGGCTCCTGAAGTTTTAAGAGGCAAATCTTATACTCCAGCTAGTGATATATATAGTTTTTCTATGGTTATGTGGGAACTTTCATCCGGGATACCACCATTTAATAATAGAGCACATGATATTCAACTTAGTTTGAGTATTTGTAAAGGTGAACGTCCTGAAATTGTTGAAAACACTCCACAATGTTATGTAGATTTAATGAAAAAATGTTGGAATGAAGATTCATCAAAAAGACCATCTACATCAGAAGTGAATGATATTTTTGTAAAATGGATTTTCCGTCCTTATAATAATAAAGTCAGTGAAGAATTAAAAAGCAACATTATGGAATTTATAAATGCACCAATTGGGCAGCATAACAATCTTGTTACTGAATCACATCCACAAGCATGTTATACAAGTCGCTTACTTGATTTTACTAGTAAAAAATTGAATGAAATGATAGCAAGTGAAGATTTGAGTGAATATATGGTTAATTTAAAGTCATTAGGTATGTAATATAGTATATGAAGAAAATTAATCTTGCAAATTATTTATGTGAAATTAATTTATTTATTTAATTATTAAAACAGATGAGAATACTAGTAAAAAGTTAAATGAAATTCTTGAAAGTGAAGATTCACAAGCTAGTGTAAAAGTAAATGAAATGCTAGTAAGTGAAGATTTGAGTGATTATATAATTAAGGATTTGGGGTCATTAGGTATGTACTATGATATATAAAAGAATTAATCTTGCAAATTATTTATGTGAAATTAATTTTATTTAATATTTAATTATTTAGATATTAAAACAGATGAAAATTAACTAATCAATGTTTGTTTTAAAAAAAAATTTATAGTTTTTTCTTAAGATATTACACATTCAAAAGAAATTGTTTTTTTTTTAAATTTATTTAAACACTAAGGCTAGAGTAGTAAAATATTTACAAATTTCTTTGTTTGTAATTTAAATAATTCTTTTTTTTTAGCTTATATATTTATATTCACGTTTTTTATTATACTTAGAATTATTTAAAACACTAAGATTAGAGTAGTAAATATTTTACAAGTTTCTTAGTTTGTAATTTAAATAAATCTCTTTTTTATAACTTTTCCAATTATGAGATATAAATTATCAAAATAATATTATAAAATCATTTCCAATGATAATGTAAAATTTTTTATACTTATTTCAATAGCCAATTGTATTTAATCTATATTTGTTGACTTTTATAAATATAATGTATCAGTTATTTTTTTTCTTGATAAAACTAAAGTCTTCTAACTTTATTCTATTTTTATGTACAAGTACAAATGTATATGCTAAAATGAATATATCTATATATCTATATATTAATTTATTGCTCAATGTAATCAAATTAAAAAAAATTTAAATGTACAATAAATTATTATATTACAAATCACAGTAAACAATTTACTTGTTTTGTAGTAAACTATAATTATACTTGGATTTATGCTTTATTAATAAAAGATATAAATTATAAATTTATATAGTATTAGGCTGTATGCTTCATTTTTTAACGTAAAAATTTAATAAATAAAAATAAATTTTTTTTGGTGCATGTTAAATTGTTACCAAATATAACGTGCGTATATGGCAGTGCATATTATCAACCCTATGAAAAAAAAGTATCTGGAATTTATTCTGAAATGTCCAGTTAATTTTGAGACAAATTCCGGATGTATTCAGACATTTAATGTGTCCGGAAAATGTTCCAAAACGCGCACGTTTTGGAACATTTCCCAGACGTTTGGAACACATCCGGAATTTAGTTAGTCCGGAAACTGTCCAGAATTAATCAGAATCCGAACAATTTGTTCATTACATATAAATATCCATAGTAATCTGTACAAATACTGGTCAAATACAGGATATATAAATATTCCGAACATTTTTGGTACGTTTTCAGGAAACAAGAGGTCATTTTCATGGGGAGCTTGACATACTTTTGAAAGATCTTTTAAGTGGAAGTTATTGTAAAAAAAAAATGACTTCAATTTATAAATATGCAAATTGTTGATCTCTCTTTTATAAATAAGCTTCGTTAAAATAAATAAATTTTTTAAAACTATCTTTTTCTTAAATAAAAGTATAAACAAATGTTGTTTTTTATTTATAATGAGTAAATTAAGTATAGAGAAATGACAGATTTTGGTTTATTATAAGTTAAAATAGTAAAATAGTAAAAATTTAGGGGAATTGATAAACATCAGGGTGATTGTCACCTGAGTTTTTTTACAAATATGTCACATGATGTACGATATATAGAGTAAATTTATTAATCGGATTTTTTTAACTTAGCTAATTTTTGATCGGCTAAACTTAAAATTTTATCACAAAAGATATTTTAAAAAAAATTTTTTTTGCAAACATTTATTCTAATGAAATTTTATTTGCAAATATTAAAATTTAAGTCACACATTTACAATTTTAAAGAAAAAAACCACTGTATTTTTAATGAAGTGATACAAATAAAAGAAACAAAGATAAGTAAATTACATTGATAAGGAGAAAGATGTTAATAAAAAAAAAATGAAAATAACAATGGAGTAATGGAAAGTAATAAAAGATGAAAGGGTAGTGAGAAGTGATAGGAAACAAAAAGGAGAATAGGAAGTGATGGGAGATGAAATGGAGTGATGGAAGACGAAAAGGAGAGATGGGAAAATGAAGAGGAGTTATAGGATACAAAATGGAGTGATGGGAGACAAAATGGAGTAATGGAAATGATGGAAGATGAAAAGAAGTGATGGGAAGACAAAAGGAGTAACAGGAGACGAAAAGGAGTGATGAGAAGATGAAGAGGAGTGGGGAGAAGACGAAGAGGAGTGATGGGAGACGAAAAGGAGTGATGGGAAGATGAAGAGAAGTGATGGAATACGAAAAGGAGTAATGGGAAAATGAAGAGGAGTGATGGGAGACGAAAAGGAGTGATGAGAGACAAAAAGGAGTGATGGGAGACGAAAAGGAGTGATGGGAAGATGAAGAGGAGTGGGGAGAAGACGAAGAGGAGTGATGGGAAGATGAAGAGTGATGGGAATTTGAAGAGGAGTAATGGGAGACGAAAAGAAGTGATGGGAAGATGAAGGGGAGTGATGGGAGATAAAAAGAAGCAATGAGAGACAAAAAGGAATGATAAGAAGTAAACAGGAGAGAAAAAAAGATAATGGAAAATGAAAAGATGTAATAGAAAATAATGGGAGACAAAAAGTATGGAATAATGAGAAGTAATAGGAGGTGAAAAATGATGAGAAACAAAAAATAAAAAATTATCATGATAGGAGGTTGGATAGCAAAAAATAATGATAGGAAACCAAGTGAAAAATAAAACCATGAAGTAAAAAAAAAAATGAAGTCAGCAAGAAATGAAATATAAGATAGAAATGAAATAAATAAAAAAATAAATAAAAAATAAAAACATACCTTTATTAATTGTAGAACTGAAAGAACTAAAAGAACTAAAAAAATGAAATAAAATTACTAGTGAAAATGAAATATGAAATAGAAACAAAATAAAAAAAAATAAAAAAATTAAAACGTCAAAAAAAAATTGACAGTTTTTAATTAAAATTAATAAAAAAACATTTTTTTTAATTAAAAATATTAAAATTGACATTTTTTTAATTAAAATTAATAAAAAAACATTTTTTTAATTAAAAATGTCAAAATTGATGTTTTTTTAATTAAAATTAATAAAAAACCGTTTTTTTTAAATTAAAAAAACGTCAAAATTGACATCTATATAATTAAAAAAATTTTAAAAATTTGTTTTGTCAATTAATAATATCTAACTTGACATTTTTAATTAAGATAAATAAAAAAGTGTTTTTTTTTAATTAAAAACATTGAACTTTGATGTTTTTAATTATTAATTAAAATAAATAAAAAAAACAATGTTTTTTAATTTATTAATTAGAAAAGTACGTTGTTATGATCAAAAAAAAAAAAATTTAATGATCAACGAAATTTAAATCTTACTACTAATCTGCTGTTGCTGCTGACTGTCAATCTGTTGCTGTTGATGGTCGTTGCTGGTTGTGCTGGTGATCATCATGCTGATGGTCATTATCGTCATGCTGATGGTGCTGATGGTCACGTTGATGGTCACACTGATAGTTGTGCTGGTGGTTATTATTCTTATGACGAGGTCTTGTTTGCTTATTCTTATGAAATCTTGAATATTCCCCTAGATAATAAATAAATAAAATAAAATAAATAAATAAATCAAAAATATATATATATATGTTTTTCACAATAAATATGTATATATTATTTACGTTTATTATTAATTATTGAGCGCATGATCTCTTTGATAGCCCAGTCATTAGCACATTTGGGGAACGATGGATTTTTATCTTTAAACTAATATTATTAAAATATTATTATTAATATTTTTAATAAAATCTTTCAGTTTGATTTAAGATAAACCAAAAGCTTTACCTTTTTGATAATAATTAAAACTTGTTTCATATCCTGATCAATCCACTTTTTCTTTGAATCTAAAAAGCCAGTTTTAATTAAGTCACGCAGATCACTCTATTAATCAAAAATTAAATATTAATACTAACTAACTTTAAAATAAGAACTGTTACTAATAATTTACATATTATACTTACACGATATCCTTGGTAAATCCTTTTGTCTAAGTGTAGTATTTTACAAATATTTTTCACGCTACCAGGTGGCTTTACAATACCGCGAGTTGATTGATTGTGGGTTGAAAATTGACCATGGGTTAAAGATTGAACTTGAGTTGAAGATTGACCTTGGGTCAAAGATTGAACATGAGTTGAAGATTGATTATGATGACCGTGATCATGAATAGTTGGAGTTGAAGGAGTAGGAGATGGTGATGATGATGGCGATAATGATGACACTGGTGATGTCTCCCTTCTCTGAGATTATATTTAGTTTACAAATTCATATAAAAAATTAGATACCAATTTTAATACAAATCTTTAAACTAAATTATAACATACATGAGTTTGTTGTGGACCTCGTAAACTTTGAACTATTGTGAATGAATAATTCATTAAATAACTTTTTAATATAAACAATTTAATAATTTTGTATAAGTATACCTTGACTGTGAGAATGGTTAGATTTTCTTGACATTTTTTTTTTTGGAAATAATAACACGAAAATATTGTGAAAGATACAAGAAAAAAATAGCGAAATCGCGTATATATATATGTATTACTTGTGTCGTTGATCAGGTTGATGACACATTTAAATTAGCAAAATTCTTTATTTTTGACATTTCTTTGATAAGAACGCCTTGGACTTTTTCCTAAAATGAATTGTAAATAACTTTTTTTTCCTAAAATGATACGAAAATGATCCTTTTTTCCTAAAACGAATTTTTCTATTATGATTCTTTCTGAAAATAAGAATACTCCTGAGAACAATGTTTCCAAGAGTGAATCTTCTGATAATTTAAAATGTAACCCCTGAGAAGAGTTAAGAAAAGAGTTGGAAGAGTTTCTCATGAGAAAGAACGAAAATATGTTCACAAGAATATTCTTGGAATGATTGTTCCTAAAAATGTAAATGGTTAAAATATTCTTCACGTTATTTTTCCAAATATATATGATCCTAAGATGTATATATATTTAGTTTTTTAGTCAGTACCTATAAAATAAAAAAAAACATAAACATGAGTGTTAAAATTTTTGTTTAACTTTAATAATAATAAAAAAATTCCGTGTAAGACTTTACAATCGAACATGGAAAAGTATTTGAAAGGTTGTGTTCCAGAAATGAAATTAAAAACGTTTGGTATTCCAGGAAGAGGCGATTGAACAGAGAATTAAAAAATCTTATTGAAATTTTCAATAACCCATTTCAAGTATTTTTTTAACGTCCTTATTATATATACTTAAATATTTTCATTTTTGTTTTCTATATTTTATCTCGTAAATTCATATTATTCCACAATATCGTTATCTGTTATGTACCACTTCAGTTGTCTTATCTCTTTAATTCTTTTTGCCTCTTCAATTGTTCTTGCCATTCTAATTCTTCTCGCCTCTCTCGTTCTTACCTTTCTGTTCGCATCTCCAATTGTTTTTGTTTCTAATTCTTTCCTCTCTAGTTCTTCTCGCCACTCTCGTTCTTGCTTTTCTTTTCGCATCCTCTCTTGTTCTTGCCTCTCTAATTCTTCTCGCCACTCTCGTTCTTTCCTCTCTAATTCTTCTCGCCTCTCTCGTTCTTGCCTTTCTTTTCGCATCTCCAATTGTTTTTGTCTCTCTAATTCTTCTCGCCACTCTCATTCTCGTCTTTCTTTTCGCATCCTCTCTTGTTCTTGCCTCTCTAATTCTTCTCGCCTCTCTCGTTCTTGATAATGGTGTAGTTAGCCGAAAAATTCAGCCGAAGGCGCAGTAAATTTTCGGCTAACAACACCCAGCCGAAAAAAATTCATGTTGATCTTGAATATTTTATTGGTTCAACATCTACTATTTTCGGCTGAATATTTTCGGCTAAATACACTTTTTTTAAATAATAGTGTAGTTGGCCGAAATATCCAAATAGCAGTCATTGCTCATGTAACCTCCTAATTCACTTTATTATGGTCAATAGCACCCTCTTCCAGTATATAATACATTTGTAAAGTTTAAAATTAATCTAAACTTGTTTAATTGGCTAAATTAATGATTTTCGAATCCATAATTCTGGCCGAAATTTTCTTAATTCTGTCCTAAAATTGGTTAAAGTTAAAAATTTCAGGTAAAATGTAACATCGTATTTATACAAAATAATCTTCAAACTAAATATGGAATATATAACTTCTTGTCAGTCTCTAAGTCAGTGTTTATTGAAATATTTTTTCAAATGCTTTTTGTTTTTTGAGTTGGATCTTAGCTAAAAATTAGTATATTAAAATAAGAAATAATGCAAAAAACTTGAAATTTGTCAAATATAGTGAATAATATAAGACATTAAATTAAAACAAAAAAAAATAAAATAAAAATACTGTATGTATATTTTCAAATACAATTCAAATCCCTTAAAAAAATTTCCCTTTTTTATTTTATTTGTATAATTGCATTGTAAAATTTTAATTATTCTTATAGTTAATAAACTATTCATTAATTTAAAGAACAATTAGTAAATATTAAAAAATTTCTTTTTTATAATCAAATTACTAAAAATCTAATATTGAAGTATGATTGGACGGAAATAAATGAGTTAAAAATAACAAATATTTTTGTAGTTTAATTTAATTAAAAAATAATGCACTGTTCAAAATAAAGTATAGACTGTATAGTAATGTTATGTACTTTTTGTTTTCTATAATAAATAAAATATTGTCATTATTTCATATTGACTGCTATTTGGATATTTCGGCTAACTACACTATTATTTAAAAAAAGTGTATTTAGCCGAAAATATTCAGCCGAAAATAGTTAGATGTTGAACCAATAAAATATTCAAGATCAACATGAATTTTTTTCGGCTGGGTGTTGTTAGCCGAAAATTTACTGCGCCTTCGGCTGAATTTTTCGGCTAACTACACCATTATTCGTTCATGCCTCTCTAATTCTTCTCGTATCAATACTTTTTGCCGCTTCAATACTTTTTGCCGCTTCAATTCTTCTTGCCTCTTCAATTCTTCTCACACCCTCAATTCTTCTTGTATTCCCGCTTCTCTTGATAGTACACTCTTCTCCAATATTCTTTTTATATTTTGTTCTTTATTAATATCATGCGAAGAGACTTCATTAGCATCGTTATTATCCTTTTTTGAACATCCTTTCACAATCTGAAATATTTCATATTCTTCTACGGAAAAATATTAAGCTTCTCTAATTAATTTTTCATAACAAGAAGGTTTCTTACAATAACTCTGATCATAAAAATTATTTCCATACAATATACAAAGTCACAATTACCGAATGATGGACCATAATTAGGATTATTATATATATATACCCTATAAGAAATATGTATACGGAAAGGACACGTTTTGTATACATTTTATGTACGTTTCTATAGATTCCGTATACAAATTCCGTATATTTAATAAGCAATTCATTTTTGAACATTTTTTAAAAAAACTGATGTATACGAAATGTATACGGAAA